TCTTCAAAGCCAGAGAAATCTCATAGCCCTTAATGCTTCCAGATTTTATACCTAAATTTTAGTTTATTGTAAGAATCCCAAATCCATATTAATTAATTATATAGAAAAAGAGTAGATTTTTCAATAATCATATTGATTTGTCCTCCATTAATAACACCAAATTCTTAGTAATATATCTACTAAGGGTAATGTTAGGGGGACTATCTATTTAAACCATATTTTGTAAATTATATAATATGGTTGTTGATGATTGAATTATTAGTAAGTGTTGATTAACGTGTTATTTTCTATCGATGACACGTCGCATAATTTGCAAATTAATCTACTTAAAATTACTCATCAGTCATCAACTAGACAGAAGTAAAATAAGAAAATTTCATGCCACCATAAATTGTGAGGACCAGCGCCCTTAATTAATGGGGATGGATGTTGCATGCACGATAATTCAAACGGAAGTCATGCATGCTGTTGATGCACAGGCAAGAGATATAACGTCAGAAAACAATTTATCTTGTCTTTTCAATGTTGGAATATACAATCATACTCTCCACCATTTCAGTAACTAAAACATGAAATTCATGTGATCAGTCTTTTGTTATAGATTAATTCGCCAGCTGAGATACGTGATTACCTGAATCATAAATGAAAGTTCATGAGATGAATAAAACAATTACGTTCTACTTTTTATCTGAAAGAATATATGATTTCTTCCTATCAGTTTTAACTCAAGTATTATGAGTAATTGAGTTGGGTTAAGGCCGTAAGGGTAGAGATCTTGGGTAACCTCCTTACTTATATATACAAGCAATTATTATTCTAGTTCAACATATTTAGCTGTTTACAAACCATATATACATGACATCATGTTATTTTTAACAAAGCAACATTCTAAACTAATACTTTAATTTATGGAGATGGAATTGATCAAACTCGAGTGTCTAACTCATATATATGCTACATGTACATCATGTTTTAAGTTTTATATTCTATGGACTTACTTATGTCTTAAAAAAATAATAAAGACATAGCCTTTTATTGACATTATAGCAAATGGTGTGACAAATTTTTCCCCTTCTAGTAACTTGGTTGTTTGAAAATGTAGAAAATTAATAGACAGCTCATTGTAAATATTTTTCTTAATAAAAAACTTTCAGACAACTTTGTTTATCATCAAGAGCACATTTCTTATTATTAAAGACAATTTCTTTATTATTAAGGAACTTTTTTAATTCAACATAATTAGTTGTTTACAAACTTTGTATACATGTACATCATGTTATTTTTTACAAAGCAACATTCTAAACTTTTACTTTAACTTATGAAGAGACAATTCAACAAGTGTAAAAATGAGTACACTACCTCTCATCAACTAGTCTAACTCACATATGTATGCTACACGTACATCATAGTTTAAGTTCTATATTCTATGGGTCACATAGTACTACAGTTTAATGATATTCGTCTTCACTTGTAAGTAAGAGGTCTTAGGTTCAATTCTCGTCAAAGGCGAATTTGAACCAAATTATTGCTAGTACATTGTGAGACTTGTCTCACTTCCCCACCCTTTAATGTAGATAATTTTTTTTTATCAAAAAATAAGATTTAAAAGTTCTATATTCTATGGACTTACATACTGCTTAAAAAAATAATAAAGACTTTTAGCCTTTTATTGACATTGGCAAATGGTGTGGCAAACATTTTCTTCCCCTTCTAGTAACTTGGTTATTTCAAAATATAGAAAATTAATACAAAGCTCCTCGTAAAAAAAAATTAAAAGAAAACTCTCAGAACTTTCTTTATCACTTAGGGAACATTTGTTTATTATTTAAAACACTTTCTTTATCCCTTCACACCTTAGTGTAGATAATATCATTTGTTTAAAAAAATATTTTCTTTAATATTAATTACTTTTTTAATTCAAAACTCTTATGAAGTGCAACTTCTTTTTTGTTTTTTGTCCTTAATTGTAATATAAAAAATCCTTAATAATAAGAAAAAATTTCAAAGTGTTTTCCGGCGAATTTTTGTTCGTGAGGTACCTTTTATTAGTTCTTCTTTCAAAATAATTGACATGTTCAAATAAAACTTTATAAAAAATTATGAACTTCGTGTAAATAGTTATTCATTAGTCTATGGAGGCATCTGTTCACCAAAACATCATGGCTACTAGCTTTTGTGATTTTGTGAATTCAGTTGTCATGCTCCACACATGCCCTTTTCTTTCTTTCCTTCTTAGTTTTTTCCTCCATCACCATATGCGTAACTTACGAGCGTCTGATAACTATTTCGTTTTTGTTATAAACTTTCTAGTTTAAGTGTGATTGTGTAAATCCTAGATTAGATTTGATTATAGCTATTATTTCCTATATGGACTTGTATTGCTTGGGGATGAAGGATTTCTTCTCCCTCTTATTACTATAAATAAAAACACTACGTAGGGGGAATAACACACATTCCTCTACACAATTCTACAAACACATCTCTCTCTTCTCTCTTTGTTGTCGGCCCCCTTCCCTTTGTCTGATAAAATAAGCTACAATCGTTTTCAAAATTGAAAACTGAAATCTTGTTTGGTAACTACTTTCAGTTTAAAGAAAAATTAAAAACTGAAAAGCAAAAAGTGAAAACTCAATGCCAAATTTTGAATACTCAACAAAGTAGTTTTCAATTCTTGGTTTTCAAATTTCAAAAATGTGAGAAAAACTAAAAACCAAATAGTTATCAAACGCCCCCTCCCACCAAGACCATAACCTAGAAACTGTTTATGGCTTAAATCTTTAGCCCGAGATTATTAAATAATAATTTTAGCCTAATTTTCATTTTTTGGTAACTTTTTTGAAAATAAAATTTATTTAGATTATCCTAATTTATTTTTATGAACATTTTAGCATAAAAATATTTAAATTATGACAAATAATTAAAAAAACATACAAATACATAGGTATTTATAAAGTTTTAAGTGAAATTTGATTTAAATTATTTCTTAAAATTATTTTAGATGTTAGATTTAATTTTGGACCGTCAATTTTTTTTTTTTTTACCGTTAGGTTTGATCTCATTTGATCACAGTCATTGGATTATAAGCAAAAAACAAAAGAAAAAGGTTAGAAATATGATCGTTTGATGCGTCCAGAATAATTTAATTCAGACTTAATTTCTAGGAGAATCTAACCCAAAGATATATTTTCTCCCCAATGCTTATTTTAGCCCATAGTTGGAGATGGTTTGGAAGGGTTTTAAAGCTTATATTTTAAATTATATTCCATGAATTGAAGATGGTGTATAAAAACCGAGTTTTTCCCACCCGCCTATAACTTTTTCTTTTTCTTTTTCTTTGTTAGTACATAGACATGACAAATTTGCTTCTATATTGTATACGATATGTAAATCCATGCCAACTCATTCAACTTTGGTCGCTAACCCAACCATGAAAAAGGACCCCTGTCACTATTAATTCTTGAGCCAAATTACCTTTCCAAGATTTTTATATCCAATTGATGACCAAGGAAGCAATTCATTCTTGAAGGTTTATTATTTAATATTTGTATAATTGGTACATTTAGCTGGCGTTAGACATTTTCTTTTACCTTTTTACGGAGGAACCTTATCAAAGTAATTAAAACCTACAAGTACAGTGTGAATGGTAATTTCATTTAAACAAATCATATTGAAATTATAAAATAATCTATTGAAAACAGTTGAGGTTTCATAAAACAAAAACCAATTTGTGATATGAGAAATAATATAAATCCTTATAAGGAGATGCAAAGTTTAGTAAACTTTTCTCACACCCTATACCATGGAGACACCGATCTTTACAAATAAAGTTAACTGATTTCACCTTTGATCATATAAATTTGACATGAGAACTGTCTTTTAATACTCTCCACACAGGTGTGCAATGAAACTGGAGCTGCATGCATGTGAAATGTTTGGAGAGATGAAATGCTGTTAGATCAAGTCCGTGTCTGATTTCTGTCCCGCGACTTCAGGAGTTTGTGATCAACCTAAACTCTTATCTACAAAGAGTTAGCTTAGGATACAACTCTTTTAAATATTTGCTCTTTCTGTGATACGCTTCTTTTGTATCTTCTGTTGTAATTTTGAATTTTTGAATAGCCTTGTAAATAGGGATTTCATTCCCTGATGTAATCTAAAGTGGAATATAAATACATGCAGCCTCTTTTTGAAAAGGCATGCAATTGAAGTGAACTTGAGTATTCTTAAGTTTTACATGGTATACGAGCCCTAGCAGTCTAATGACACATATCCTTTTTTTTTTTTCCAATGGCTGATAACATGAACGGTGCTACAACCCAAACCAATTCCATTCCCAACCCAACCATGAACCCCTTCTTATCCATGACTACAGTTGTTAACATAAAACTGGATCGAACCAACTATCCTATGTGGTTAGCTCAGATCCTACCAATCCTCAAGAGTCATGACCTGATGGGTCCATCGAATGCCCTCCCAAACAGTTCCCGGGTGTCGCTACCCTCAACCCAGCATACACAACTTGGATGTAGCATGATCAAATGATACTAAGTTGGATAAATGGCTCCCTTACGCCATCTGTGTTGTCTGTCATGGCTAGTAAGAGATCCTCTCGTGATACCTGGGAGGCTCTCAAGCAACGGTATGTTTCTTCGTCCCAAAATCGCATTTTGTTTCTTCGAAATGAAATGATGCAAACCAAGAAAGGAGATATGTCTATTGCTAATTATCTTGATCGAATGAACTTGATTTCTGATAACCTTGCCCTAGCTAGCAAATCAGTGAATGATGATGAGCTTGTCCAAATCATCTTGAACAATCTAGGGCCTGCCTATGAAATGATTGTGAATGTTACTCAAGCATGTGACACTTCAATCACATACCCTACACTTGAGGCTTTCATTCTGACAACGGAGAGAAGAATGGCTGAGCAAACTGCTCCTATTGTGGAGGTTGCTCCTGTGAATGCTTAAGATAAAAAAAAAATAAATAAATAAGGGAAAATGGCTCGGTTGAGAGGCACAAGGCCAGGTTAGTCGCCAATGAGTTTCATCAAAAGCCTGGAATTGATTACACAAAGACGTTTAGTCCTATGGTCAAGCACAACACCATAAGACTTGTCCTCGGTTTAGCAGTTTCAAAAAAATGGCATGTCAGACAACTGGATGTACATCACGCTTTCTTGCATAGATTTCTAAAGGAAGACATATACATGCGACAACTTGCAGGTTTAATTGATAAGCATCATCCAAATCAAGTGTGCAAATTGCAACGAAGCATATATGGCTCAAAACAAGCCCCACGAGTGTGGTTTCAATATTTTTCAGAGTTTTTGCTTTAATTGGGGTTTCAAGCATCCACCTGTGATTATAGTTTATTTGTTTTTAATCACCATGGTGTCTATTTGATTTTATTGATTTATGTGGATGATACCATGTTGACAGGAAATAGCCCTCGCCAAATGTCTAGCTTGGTCAAGCAATTAGATACTTTGTTCTCAATGAAAGACTTGGGTCCTCTTAATTACTTGTTGGGTGTTGAAGTTAAATATTTTGGTGATAAAATGCATTTGAATCAGGCAAAGTGTGCTTTGGATTTGCTTAAACGTACAAAAAATTTGGATGCAAAACCGATTTCTACTCTAGTTCTTTGCAGTCAAAGGCTTAGTGCTTATGATGGTGAGCCATATGACAATCCAGAGATGTACCGAAGTGTCGTGGGTGCACTTCAATATTTGACGATCACGAGACCAGACATCTTCTATGCAATCAACCAGGTATGCCAATTCATGCACTCTCCAAATAATACATATTGGATGGCAATCAAGAGGATCCTTCACTATGTTAAGGCCACATACAATCATGGTCTTATATATAAACCAGGTACTACACACCTCACGGCTTTTTTCGATGTTGATTATGCTGGCAATCCTGATACACGACATTTAACTAAAGGTTTCTGCATTTATTTCGGGTCTAATCTCGTGTCTTGGAGTTCTAAGAAACAAAAGACGGTCAGCAAGTCGAGTTCAGCTGAGTACAGACAGCTTGCTTGCATAGCTGTTGAACTTTTATGGCTCAGGTCTCTCTTCCGAGACTTACACTTGTATCTTAACATACCAACAATCTGGTGCGACAATATTTCCTCAACTACATCTTGACATACCAACAATCTGGTGTGACAATATTTCCCCAACTACCCTAGCTTCTAACCTAGTGTTTCACTCACGGACAAAGCACTTGGAGGTGGATTATCATTATGTTCGCGAGAAGGTGATTCGACAAGAGTTACTTGTGAATTTCATATGTTCTCAAGACCACATTGTTGATCTTTTTACCAAAATGATTGTCATCTTCACGATTCAAGCTTCTTGTTTCCAAGCTTCCAGTTGTTTCTCTGCCTATCAGCTTGCGAAGGGATGTTAGACCAAGTTCGTGTTTGATTTATGTTCCCGCGACTTCAGGAGGTTGTGATCAACCTAAACTCTTATCTACGAATAGTTAGCTTAGGATACAACTCTTTTAAATGTTTGTTCTTTCTCTGATATGCTTCTTTTGTATCTTCTGTTGTAATTTTGAATTTTTGAATAGCCTTGTAAATAGGGATTTCATTCCCTGATGTAATTTGAAGTGGAATATAAATACATGCAGCCTCTCTTTGAAAAGGCATGCAATTGAAGTGAAACCTTGAGTATTCCTAAGTTTTACAAATGCATCATATACTGAATATAGTCTTCAAATATATATGATAATCAACGCTTTAAATATACAGTTGATATATATTGTACTATTTCAATATGATCGAACTCATTAGAGCTACTCTATCTCTAAAAAATGAGCTGGCTCAAAGTCCATTTAATCCACCCAAATGAATAGTAATTGGCCAAGTGCATCTCTACTCCTAAAACTAAATAGCCTAGTCCATTTTATTAAAATATTATTAATATTATAAAATAATAATAAAATAATTTTATTTTTAATTTCTGACATTTACTTTATTTATTAAAAAATATTATTAATTTTTGACATTTTATTTATTTATTTATTTTAAAAGTTTTTTGGCCAAAAAATATGGACCGTTGATCTGAAAATCGAACAGTCCAGATCATGCCACGTCACTAGCCGTTGGATTTGAATTTCAAATTTATTTTTTTACCATTGGAAATCCAACGGCCGAGGCTTAGCCACGTGGCCCATGTCCCACGCCCTTTAGTGCGCCTGCAGCGCGGACCCAACGCCTATCACCTTGTCGGGGACGCACGGCCACGCGAGAGTGTTTCCCACACGCCTGACACAAAAAAATTTGTGTTGTCCACTGACGTTATGTTGGCGTCAACATAAAGCCAAATAGGCCGGTTCCTACCTCAACCAATTTTGGACCGGCCTACAAACTGGCTTGGACTTTGGGCTGAATTATTTTTAGGGGTGGAGGAGTTTGTTTTGAGAGCTAGCCTAAAAGATAGGGCTGGAGTTGCTCCTAAAAAGGGTAAAGCTAGGAGCTAGGTGGGGTAACTGGGTTGGCGTCAGCCACAAGCAAAGCAAGTTTCCAAGTTTCATTTTGCTTTCTATGGTTTCTTCAAGATGAAGAACGAATTTGAGGTAACCTCACCAAACAGCATCAATGAAGGCAGGCACCACCATGGAATTCTTTATCTTCTCATCTCACCTTCCTCAATCATTCACTCCACTCATCATCTTATATATGTAAATTAATTATTTCGTATTTAATCTATTTAATCTATAACATTATTACAATTGTGGACTTAATCAATAACTATCAAACAATGGGCTAGGCCAACTCGCCATAGTAGTTTCTCTATTTCTTTACATCAGAGTTCGATCTCCCTCTCTATCGATATGACTAATTTGGAATATTTGACAGTTAAACAAGCATATCATTTTCATTTAGTTATTATGATTGTGTACATGAAAAGATAATTTTTTAGGGTTTGCTTGTCTACTAAAACAACCAAACTTACTTATACATTAAAATTAGAAAAACAAAGTGATGTGTGTAATAGCAAGGCAAACAAAAACTAAGAATATAGTTTGAGGGTTAGGATATCTATAACTACCTAATATTCCCCTACTTGATTGTCGTGATGCAATTGATATTTGGTGACCTTAAGTGACAAAGCAAAGACCAAGCAATTATAGTTTCATGTACGTATTGAAACTGACCCACAAGGAGGAAAGTACTTTTGTTTTGATGCAGCTTGGTGGCCTTTCACACACTGAAAAAATGTACTCATGCATGCCCGTGACCTTCGGTTTGTCCTTCCATCATATGGTTTGCTGGGCTTTGCATAGACACAATGGTAAAGTTTTTAATAAATTAGGGTTGTGATGAAATGGTCGGAACTAAATGTTTGTTTTCTACTTGACCACTGGTTATCATTAAAGGCACGGCACGACTAAATACTCCGTAAGTGTACTATTGTAGAAAAACTTAGTGTATCGATCTTTCTCGTAACTTGTTAAATCGCATGATGAGAAATAGACACAAGTGTATTATACACCCAACTTTCTCATAACTGTTTTCTTTGTTTTTGCCAAAGAGAAGGATAATAAATTTTCAAGTCCAAAATGGAGAATGTTAACTTTGTTTCCCCTCTTACATGGTATATTATAAGGCACTACATTAATGCATTAAGGACAAAATTTAAAGTTCGTAACCCAGAGTAAACATGCCATAAATTGAAAATGAAAAGTTAGGAAAAAAGTTATGTGGTATATATAGTAATGTCATTTGTCCATCCTCAACTTATAGTTTTTTACTAATTTTTTCTCATAAGATGTGACCACCGTAAATTTATTCACGGGTAGATGTGACCGAAAGAATTCTAGGGTTTGACCCCCACTCCACAATCCCTTATTGGTTAGGATAGTAATCTAAACAAAACAAAACAAAACATTTAACCAAAAATTTTCAAATCTTGTAAAATATATTGATATCTTGAGTCCTTGACTGCATGGAGTCTGAGCTTGGATCGAGTAGGCATGCATTTCATTATTTGAAAATTATAATCAATGGCCATCGTGTGCTGATTCTATTTAATGTGTAGTTACAGATGACAGATTACAAATTACAACAGGCATTCTTTTCCTTCATAGCCCAAAGAGAAGGAGGAAGAACCAAAACCTCATAGGCATTCTTTGTCGTTTTACTTCTCAAATTATGCACCAAAGACACATGATTCTTCTCAAACAATGAACCCATCCCAAAAGCAATTAGATTAAACGCCTTTTCTCATGACAATAAATTGACCATATTTGGGGTAATGCGCATTTCCTTCTCATCTGTAAATTACATTGTGACGTAAAAAAAAAAAAAAACTACAATATAATGAAAATATAACCACATTTGCACTCTCTTTGCTTGAACTTATTCTTGAGATCACCCCGTTGCATATAATTTATTCTCTACAATAAAAAAAATTGACTTTTGACATGTAAAAAACAAATATTGTAGTTCTTTCCCACTAACCTGAATCGTTATATATCATACAAACTTCATAATCGAAATTGTTCATTCTCTTTATTATCATTCAACATTTTATTTTCAAAAAAAAAAATATTCGATTAAGAAATCATTAATTTACTAATTCATATCAATATAAGATATTGGTAATTCATAACTTGTTACCATGATCGTTGGCTTGTTTTACACATAAACTATATCTAAATCGAATGTTTTTTTTTTAAATTGATCTTTAGATGATAACAAATAAAACGATCGGTTTCGATTATCCTTTTTCGGCGGTAAAATGATGCCACGTTAGTGGGAAAGTCCTCTTTTTTGGAAAGGACGAAAGTTAGTGTTTCAAAATATGTTGATGAATATCCTGTAGATAGGGCATTTCTTTTCAACCAATTGTGTCTCAAGTTCAAACAACAATTTTCTTTTAGTGCGGCTTAGATTCGTAATACCGTCGACATAAATATTGGTTATGAATATGTTAGTGTGAAGTGTGTCATTAGAAGTCAATAATAGATCAATCAAACCCAATGAGGTGGAACTCCTACACTGGACCCAAATCAAGTACAAGGTTAGCCTGCAGGTAGCAGGTTGGCTTGCTTTGTAAAAATACCTTTTAAACTTTGACAAACTTGTTGGGGTCCCAAAAGTAAGAATCTGGTAACTGCTTACTTTTCTGTTAGAGAAAGATTAATTAAAACAAAAATTAAAATCTCTCATCAGTTATAAAAACAACAAAGACAAGACGCAATTATTTTTAGGGTTTCTCATCATCATTTCATTTCTATAAATACCAACATTTGAAGGGTGGTGTCCTTTGTGTGATCCCATAATATTATCTAGGAAAACGTTTCGTACCATTTTCTTAGCAAATCTTAGTTAGCCCCTTCTCTTTCCATGTCCCTTTACTCTACCTTTCTCTGTTTCTTTTTTCCTCTCTCTCTCTCCCGCACATATAAAGCGATCAGATATATCCCAACTTCTTGCATCTGACATTGCTAGAAACGCAGAGATAAACAGAGGAAAAACAGAGGAGTTTAGGTATGGAGGCGACATTGCCGAAAACGGCTCTAATATGGTCAATCTTCATGGGATTTTGTATCTTCATCGTAATTCATGTCTACGCAGAAGATTCTCAAATGGGATATCGTCAGTTTTCCGGTGGCGATTACAACGATCATTTGCGAAAACTGCAAGAGTTCAAGGCTTCACTCCTCCGCCATGATTCGATTTCTGTTGCACCATCTTCAATCGTACCCTCTCCTAGTCCTAGCCTTATTGCTCCGCCGACGGTAAGTCAATCCCTTTGCGCATAAATTATAGATTTTTATTTTGTAATTTGGTTGTTTAATTCTTGGTTAAAATGTTGGGTTGGAGTCTTTGTTGTTGAAATTATTTGTAATTTGTTGGTCCATGTTGTTGAAAAATTGGTGATGGTTGGTTCAGGGGAGCACTAGTCCACGTGTATATCACGTGACATCGTACGGCGCTGATCCGACGGGGAGCAGAGACAGCACTGATGCACTTGCTCAAGCAATGGCTGATGCATTTAGAGGCCCAACTGAAGGGTTCTTGATAGAGG